GGCTGAGGGCCTGCCCTGATCCCCATCCGGCTCCCTCAGCCGGGATCTCTCCTCCGGACGCAGCCTGGCTGGAGGGATTAGACTCGGCCACAGCATCCAGGAGCCGTGTGGAGGGTTTGTAGCACGGAGGCAGAGCTCTGCCCTAGAAAGCTGCCCGCCCAGGGAGAAGTGGCATGAACCCGAAGGGGACAAGCTGCAACCTCTGTTTCCAGCACCCCCGACACAGGAGCAGTTCTGCCCGGCTAAAAGGGAACTGGGCTCAGTTCTCCGACCCCCAGGAAAGACTCCCCTCTGCTCCTGCAACGCTGCCGACGAGCGCCCCAGACTTCCGGCCACACGGAAGCTTTTCCACAGAGGGGTTAGGTTTTGCCAACTCCGCCTCGTATCAGTCATCTCCAGGGTCCCTAAGGGCGCTGCCCAATTGCCCGCAGATGGGGGGACACTGCCTGATCTAGGGCAGGCCCCAGACTAGGGACTCGAATGGGAGAGTCTGGGAGACCGGCTGGAGCTGTCGTCACAGAAGGGGAATGGCTTGTCTTGTGTGGCGAGAACAGGGCGCCACAAACCCCTCGATTTCAGACAAGAGTTTTATTTTCCACCACGAACGGGGCTGAACCAGGCATGCCAAGCCGAGGCGGCTACCCTGGGAGGGGTTTGCGAGAGCCATGTGGGAGACGGAAGTGGCAACGTTCTACCAAGAGGCCCCAGGCCCATTTCTCTTCCTAGCCCTGAAGCCAGGCTGACAGGAAGGCGGGTGCCTCGCTCCACGGGGCTGCGACAAGGGGTCAGCAGCTGCCAGAAGCCGGTTGCCACGCTCAGGTGGGGAGAAGAGACTCGCTAGTGCTTGGATAGACCTCGTCGCGTGGCTAAGCCCAGAGCCCGACAGCGACGGTCCAGCTCTGCTCCCCACAATTCCCCGTGCGGCCGCAGCCCGGTGAGGCAAGCCGCAAGCATTCGGAACAGGAATTCCCCCTCCTGAATGGAGAGCAAAACCCTCCGGCCCAGGCATGGGGGGTGGGCACACACCGCTGAGGGCCTATCGATTGGACAGTGAGCCAGTGCAAGTCGGTCCCATAGAACGCCTGGGGACGAGGCACAGCGAGGAGGGTTTTGGCTTCCCAGCTGCAGCACCCACCGGGTTTCCCAAGGGTGGGGAGGGGTCAGAGGCTACTCACTAGTTTCTCCTTGGAGCAGTAGGACTGGAAGTTCTTGGAGAGAATGTCGGCGTACTGCATCAGCACCTTCCCAATGGTCTGCAAGAACAACAGCGACCCATGACACGCTCCTCCCCCGAGCAAGGCCGACGTTTGCAGGACCCAAAACTATGCTCCAACCAAGAACTTGGGGAGAGAGGATTCGCCAAACCACGTGGCTTCTCCTGGTCGGGATCCCTTCATTTCGTTCGGGAGGGGCTACGTCTGGGGCCATTTCTCAGCGCCATGCAGATGACTGATGACCCGGTTTTTTAAGGGCTCTCTGTGTATACTGTAACGAGCCACCTCTGCTCCTCGCTGCGCTCCCACCTAGGACTGTTTCAAACAGCACTACGATCCAGCACACGAGGGACCCGGGAGTGTACACCGGCAGGGTCGACGTGGACCAATTAACATGCAGCACCTTACTTCCTAGCAATCACACTCCTGTTACTGCGCCACGTAGACTGGCCCTTAGATGCATTTAACCAATCCTGGTGTTTACTGGAGAAACTCAGGCAGTTTGAATGTTTCTGTTTTATTTGGCCGGGGGGGGGGGGTCAGTGTTTGCCCTTTAAAACCCAAAATGAGAAGCCCTAAACAACGCGGTTCCCCATACGACTGAAGGCCGCACGTTAGTGCTCACCTTAGCGAACCTCCTCATATAGTGAGCGACAATCACCGGGTCCGGACACTCCAGCTTCTTAATGATCTCAAAGCTCTGATTAAGCTGCGTGAAGACGTCCACCACCGAGCAGGAGAACAGGGCATGCTCAGACGTCTGCTGGAACTAAACACAGAACCGCACAGTCGCCTCGGAAGCTTTGAAAAGGGTTTGCAAGAGCCAGCTGGGACGCCCCAGAGGTGGCTCCTTTCTCGGCGGCGTGGGCACCGGTTTTCAGAGGGGACCCACGTTTGGCACCTAATCCTCACTGGGCTCTCAGGGCCTAACGCCCTTTGGCAATGGCAGCCTAAGCCAGGAAGGGACGGGACTGAATCGTGGGAACAGTAATTATATTGCTGAGACCTTGCCTGTTTGCTTAATGAGCAACGAGGAAAAGGAAACGCAGAGAGATTCTTTTTTAAATGGCGAAATACAAACGAGGGCTGGCATCCGAATTCCAGCAGGCTGGGCACATCACAGCACGGCCTGCTGGGGCGCACCGCGAGGTGAGAGAACAGACAGACTAAGGTCACTTCCACTGTCCTGATTAGACACTTAGCTCGTCTCATGCATTTCAAAGGCCTGATCTCCCAGGCATGGGGCCGGGCCATTGCCAGGCCTCTTGTGGCTCAGACTGGCAGCAGCAGCGAATTGCTCTGCTCTCCCTAGTCGGTTAAAACAGAGACCTGGGGGCAAAGTCTCAAGACACAGGAGAGTCCTGTCTGTTCAGTGAGCTAGCCAGCTGTGTCTGCATTCAGGCTTCCGCATACGGGATTCCTGGGCCCAGGGCCCCGGCTCCTCGCCAGCTCCACACCCCCACTCCGTACCCCATCTTTCTTATCCCTCTCCAGGGCTCCATTCAGGAATTCCACGGAAACATCTTCGTTCTCTTCCAGCCACTGCATCACAAACTGCTCGAACCACCTGCCGCGGGGAGAGAAAGGAGAGCAGGTCACAGCAGGACACAGCAGCTGCCCCCGCAGCCTGGTCATGAGGAGCTGGGGGCTTTCCCACCTCAGCTCTGCACCAGTCCTGGGGGCATGTGAGTCACGGAGCAGCAGCACAAATCAGCTCTGCCCAGCCTTGCCAGCGTTGTCGATTGCCTGCCAGCAGCGGACACTCTAGTGAGCCAGGCTGAAAGCAGACTAGCTCTCTGGGTGCCCAGCTGGATTTATTCAGTGTTGGGGAGGCCACATCTGGAGTACCATGCCCAGCTCTGGGGCCCCCACTACAGGAAGGACGTGGGCGCACTGGAGAGGGGCCAGCGGAGGGCGACCAAAATGATTGGGGGGCTGGAGCACATGACCTACGAGGAGAGGCTGAGGGATTTGGGTTTGTTCAGTCTGCAGAAGGGAAGAGCGAGGGGGGATTTGAGAGCAGCCTGCAACTCCCTGAAGGGGGGTCCAAAGAGGCTGGAGAGAGGCTGTTCTCAGTGGGGGCAGGTGGCAGAACCCTAGGCGGGTGGGAAGCGCTGGGCTGGGTTCCCTAGGGAGGGTGGAGTCTCCATCCCTAGAGGTGTTGAAGTCCCGGCCTGACAGAGCCCTGGCTGGGATGACTGAGTTGGGGTCGGTCCTGCCTTGGGCAGGGGCCTGGGGCTGGACTCGGTGACTCCTGAGGCTCTGTGATTTCCCCAGGGAGGATGGGAAGGGCTGCGGCACCTCGCGCACACACGGCCGGACTCACACCCGTGCCCACACTGCTTCCTGGACGGGAACAGCAGGGCCCAACGTGGCCTGATCCCCACACGCTGCACTGTCAGATGGGCCCCTCAATCACCGCCCTGAGCACAGGTGCTGCCATTTCCTCCCCCCGCTGTGCATCCCCCCCCTCCCCCCCGCACTGTCCTGCCTTGGCTCACGCTCCACCCTTGGCTTTCACACACTTGCCAGCTTGGGCGCTGTCCCCCCCCCCCCCCCCCCCCGCACTGTCCTGCCTTGGCTCACGCTCCACCCTTGGCTTTCACACACTTGCCAGCTTGGTCTGCTTCGGCGTCCCTCCTCCTCCTGCTCCCGTGGCCAGCCCCCTCTCCCCAGCCCGAGAGCCGTGCGCTCCCGGCACCCGCCGCCCTCTCAGGGATGAGCCGAGAGATCCAGTCTGGGAAGAGACGCTTGCTGAGCTGCATCAGGGACATTTGCACACAGAGAGGGAGAGCTTCCCTGGGCCGCCGGCCGAGGTGACAGCACGTTCTGGGAGCAGGGGAGGCGGCTCCAAGGCTAGGCAGTTCTCTTCTCCCCAGTGCTGCTCTCCACGGGGTGGCTTGGCACCCTCTCCCCGAAGAGGAACGGCTCTTCAGGCCAATTCGAGACGCTTGCTGAGCTGCATCAGGGACATTTGCACACAGAGAGGGAGAGCTTCCCTGGGCCGCCGGCCGAGGTGACAGCACGTTCTGGGAGCAGGGGAGGCGGCTCCAAGGCTAGGCAGTTCTCTTCTCCCCAGTGCTGCTCTCCACGGGGTGGCTTGGCACCCTCTCCCCGAAGAGGAACGGCTCTTCAGGCCAATTCTGTCCCCATCTGGCAGAACGGCCGAGCAACCAGAGCTCAGTGTGTGCCGGGTGGCACTGCTATTCCCACCGGAGACACTGTCCAGGCTGAACCAGCGGCACCAGGGGAGCAGCAGGCTGGTGACCTCTCTCTCGACAGTCCATGTTAGTCCGTGTCTGCAAAGCCAACGAGGCATCCCAGGGCACCTTAGCCCTGGTCTACTGTCACGTTACTGGATTTTAAGGGAAGCAGCCAGGTCACTACTGCACCCACAGGGGGTGTTCGCCCCAAAAGCTGGTGCAAAGGGGGCCGTGTGGAGTGTCAAACGAAAACTTCTGTTCTACCGATGCTGAGTAGGCTACTCGTGTACTTGTACAATGTCTGTGTGTGGAGTTAGAAACATGGACTCTGCGTGGATGCTGGAAGAGTCTCTGTCAGAGCAATGAGCAAGGAAAGCTCAGCCAGTGGCTGTGCTAATTAGCAAGGCTCCAGAGACAATAGATCTCTAAGTGCCAGAGACACACCTGAAGGAACGCCTGGCTATCTGCAAGCCAGCCAGGAGAATGGTTACTGACTTGGGATGCAAGGATAGGTCAATGGACCATGTGACCTTCTATGGCCAGGAAGATGCCAGGGGAGGTATATACGTGCCATGTGGCACCCTCCATCTTGGTCTTCAGTTTTGCTCCTGTTCCCAGACGCAGCCTTGCAGGGAACCATGAGCTGGGATGAACCGTGGACCCGTCCTGACATAGGATGTGCACCAGAGACTTTTAAGACAGCAGAGATGTTATAAACTGCTACGAGCCTGCACTGAGAACTGGGAGATTCGCTGCATGTAATGTAGGATCCTTTAACAACCTCACTCTCAGGCTTTTCTTTCTTGTAGTAATAAACCTTTAGGTTGTAAATTCTAAAGGATCAGTTCAGTGGTCTTGTGGGTAGATCCAGGAGTGTAAATTCACCTGGGAACGGTCGCTGGTGTCTTGGGACTGGAAGAACCCGTTCGGGGGAGGTGAGGTTGCATTCTAACCCCCCACCTGTGTTAGTCCCAGGACTGACTGGGGCACAGGGAGAGCTGGGGTGTCTGAGGGGCTTTGCTCGTGAGGCTTCTGGCTGGCCAGGCTGGCAGCTGGAGCGCTCAGTACGACTGGTTTGTGGCCTGTTTGGGAAGGTCTCCAGTCTGGGGCTGTACGGAGCCCTGAATTTGAGCAATTCGCCCTGAGAGGACGCCCCCAGCGGTGCCCAGACCTGGCCCGGCCTGTCACATCTACCCTAGGGAGTTATTTCAAAATAACCCCCCTTGCTTCCAAATCATAAGTGGAGCGTCCACACTACCAAGCCCGTTATTTGGAAATCAAGGGCTGGTGACGTCAAAATCCGTTCTGCTTTCCTCAGGGAATCACGCTTACTTCCAATTCGTTATTTCAATAGCGGGAGCGTGGACGCTCTGGGGCTGCTACTTTGAAATAACGACTCCCCGGAGTCATTACTCCCCAATGCTTCCTGGGGCTCTAGGTCGAGGTAGCACGTCCCTAATAACGGAGCCTGCCCTGGACTAATTTCAATGCTCCCCCATAGCGGGAGCCAGCTGGATTTTGTTATTTTGGGAGTTATTTCCTCGTGTAGACACGCCCTTAGAGACTAACAGATTTCTCTGGGCATAAGCGGTCGTGGGAAAAACTCCACGCTGAGATACAGCATCTGACAAAGTGGGTTTTACCTACAAAAGCTGATGCCCCAATAAATCTGAGAGTCCCCCAGGTCCCCCGGGACTCCTCGCTGGTTTTGAGAATGTAGTGCATAGGAAAGGGGCCAGAGCCACCCTGGAGTGGAGCTCTATGATCCCCAAGAAAACCAGGACAGAGGAGAGCAAGCTACCCGCCCCCCCCGCTCTACCATCTCCTATCCTGGAGACGGGAGCCAACTGCATCGCAGGCTGAACGGGCTCCACAGACGGTTCTAAACAGCTGCCCGTCTGTGCCACAGAGGTAGATTTACAGTGTGGACATTTAGCTGCCTGGACCTGGACCAGACTCCTAGCTCACCACACCAGATGCCAGCACTGACGCGTTGGATCCAGAAACCGGCAGGGGAAAGGCTGCTTCTCCCATTACCGTCCCCCGGAGCTAACCGGACCCCCTTCTCCTGCGGCCAGGAAGCATCAAGGTAGCGCACAGGAGAGGTTTCGATGGCAGTTAACCAGCAGCAGAGCATTTAAGGTTTCATCTGAATTGATCCTCTCTAGCGTTCCTCACACAGCTCGTCTCTCTAAGTCTTGGAGTGCTGCGGCAGATCTCGTGTTCCCACGCTCGCAAACGGCAGTCACAAACAAGGGGGAAAAGGGCTCGTGTGTGAATTCAGCCCAGAAGTAAAGTATTGTCGGCGCTGCACGATGCAGTACGGCCCTCCGAGAACAGGCCGCACGGTGCTAATTATGGGCTGCCGGAGTTAGCAAAGAACGTGAAATAATGTGAGAGACACGCGAGCGAGACAGAGCGAGTGCACACAAGCCTGAAATACTCCTAACACTTGGGAAGGTACCGCGCACCCATGTTAATGCTGCAAATTGTAAGTGACGCCGCATTGGAGGCCTGCCCGCACCAGCACTGCCCAACGCGGAGGTCAGCTGCGCCGGCCGACGTTAGCAACGGCGGGGGAACGTGCCCCCGAGACAAGCTCTGCCCTTGGACCCTGGCAGTTGGAAGGGCTGAGAGCGCCTGCCCGTTTCCGCGCCTGGGTTTTGGCTAATGAGCGTGGTTGTAAGCCCGGACTCGTTTTTGTGAGGCGCTACAGAAGCAGAGGCAGATCACCAGAGAGCAGCTGCCAAGTCTCCTGCCCCTGCTGAGGTGCGGAGCACCAAACTGCTTGCTGCCTTGTATTGCTTACAGCCCCATCGAGGGACTGGCTGCTTGCTAGCTCCGGTTTGCTGTGCACGGCCCAGAAGGAGACAGGAGTGCCTCCGGTTCTCTCTTCCCAGCCGCTGCCCCTTGCACCGTTTTCATTCGCTGACGCTCCCCGAAGGCGCGGGGCACGCCGAGCACTAGTGAGAACACAAAGCCGTTTATTCCGTGACCATGACACTTTCAGCCCCAGGGTTACAAATTCATGGGCACTCGGTGCTTGGCTCTCTACCCAGACTGCCTGGAAAAAAAGGAAGGTCATTTGGGGAAGGGGATGTTCTTTAAATACAGCTCCCCCCAAACACCACAGAGACACCTGTGAGAGACCACAATGTTTGCCAAGTGAAACACTCAGGTCGGGAAATGCTGCCGTTCCAGTTGGAAGTGTCGTCTGTCCCCTGCTGGGAAGCCTCCTTCAATAGCACGGCCACAGACAAGGGGCTGGCTGCTTGCACAGGTCCCAGACCCCTGCTGCTTCCAGCCGCAGCGTCCATCCAGGGCTGTTCCGCCTCTAGGGGTACTTTGCCACGTTTGGCCCCCAGTGCTGAGGCTGGGGCTGTGCGAGGAAGGGACGCCCACACAACGGCAAAGAGAGACAGATCATTAACCCACGGGCACAGACTTCCAAGAAGCAGATTCATGGACAACATTACTTGGAAATGAATAATTAATGTCAATGACACACTGTAAATGCTGTTTGACAGGGAGCAATCGCCTTCGGCTTCCTGCCTGTTTTACAGGAGCAATCTCAAACGTCGCCTCTTTTTAACTTCCTCATGGTGCACCATCTACCTCGCCGGCCTGCGCGCGGCCCGACATCAGACCCGATGCTCAGAATGGCCCCTTCTGGCCCTGACGTCCGGGAAGTCACCACAGAGGATACGGGCCACGCCAACAGCGACTGACGTAACAAACACGCATGCGACTGCACAGCCTGACATCTGAGGGCGACTGTGTGGCCTTCACAGCCCCCTCCATTGTTCTGGGTTGGAATAAACTCTTCACTGTAGTGCGCTCGCCTACACCGCGTCTTCTGGCTGAATCCGAATTTGCCACTGAGGGATTTTATGGATGCAATGTAAGGCGAAGGGCTGCAATTTCAGCTTGGCCCAAATCTGGCCTTTGCTTCTATGGCCAGCCTTTTGCAGACACACTGAAGGCTTACGTGCCTCCATGGAGGTAGCCAGGTGCTAGCAAGTACTGAGACGCATAAACGGTGTTTTTACCCTACAGAAGTTATAGGGACAGAACGGATATGGAGTTTTCAAGATCAGGCCAAACAGGTCCCATTAAATCGGATGCTCATATCCCCACGGGCATTGAACGTCACAATACCAATGCGGGAATGCCTTCCACTTCCAGGAAGGAGCAAGCGGGCGGAAAGATTTAGCAGTCGGCACTTGGACACCCTGACGTGATTTTCCACCCGATCTCTAACTCATCGAAATGAGCTGGTGGGGGTGTGCTCTCCCCGCCACCGCCAGGTACGGGGCCGAGCCGACGGGTCTGCGCTCAGCCTCCTGCCCGTCGGAGGAGTACCGGCGCTCTGGGCCAGGGCCGTTTGACTGGCCATCCAGAGTTCACCAGGTTCAAAGCCGGATCGCAGAATTTTAAGCATCTTCTGTGTTTAGTAAGTGGCACGTCATAAATAGGCACCCACGGCGCTGTCTGAAGACGCGATCTCACTGCTGCGGCTAGCCCCCGGGGACGGTCGAAGCGGGGTGGCTGGGACTCTCATGGCTTGTGTTCGGCTACACGCGCTGTGTATTAAATCCCAGCACTGAGCAGCAGCAGGGGATGGTGGAGATGGCACAGGGCACCCGGCCTCCAGAGGGTCACTGCTTTGACAGAGCCAGCAGGCGGGAACATGGAGCCCTCTGGCTCTCAGGGCTCACCCCCACCCTTGGGCAAATCACTAAGTGACATTACGGGATTTGATAGCAGCCTTCAACTTCCTGAAGGGGGGTTCCAAAGAGGCTGGAGAGAGGCTGTTCTCAGTGGGGGCAGGTGGCAGAACAAGGAGCAATGGGCTCAAGTTGTGGTGGGAGAGGTCCAGGTTGGATATTAGGAAAAACTATTTCCCTAGGCGGGTGGTGAAGCGCTGGGCTGGGTTCCCTAGGGAAGTAGTGGAGTCTCCATCCCTAGAGGTGTTTAAGTCTCGGCTTGACAAAGCCCTGGCCGGGTTGATTGAGTTGGGATTGGTCCTGCCTAGAGCAGGGGGCTGGACTTGATGACTCCTGAGGTCTCTTCCAGTTCTAGGATTCTGTGATGATCCTTACTTTATGGATCTGTAAGGAAGAGACGGAAATCCGCCCAGCGCTCGTGGACTGAGGCAGAGCCAAGAGGAGAAGCCAGGCCAGTCCCATCCACAGGGCTGTGCTGCCTCTGTGGGCTCTACTGGCCTGTTCCCAAGGCCCTGGTGACTGTATCAGGCGTCCCAAACGCAAGTGAAGCCCTGGAGAGCAGGGTAGCTGCACTGACACCCTGCGAGGAGCCGCTGGGCCTTGGCTACCTAACACCACAGCTTGGAGGGCAACAGCCCTGAAGTCTCATTCCTTGGTACTTCGCGCAGAAGCGACAGTCTCCAGCAACAGGCCAGGCTGCGCAGGGCGAGGTGGACTGATGCAATCTGGGACCGTCGGCCCAACAGCCACAGCTCCATCGGAAAGGGCAGGACCGGCACGCTGCGGATCAGCGCAGCCCGCTCTGAGTGGTGCGACGTCAGGCCATGGGTCTCATCGCTGCTGGGGAATCCGGTGACCAGTGGGGGCGCTAAGGCAGCTCCCTGCCTGGCCTGACATCCTGGAGCACGCTGCACCCCACAAGCGGCCAGCAGCAGGTCCAGTTCCTACCCGCGGGGCCACAGGGCAGCACACACAGCCCGGCCCCCGAGCAGCAGCTCCACACACCGATTGGCTGGCTCCTGGCAAATGGGAGCTGGGAGGACGGTGCTGGGGTGTGAAAACAGCACATGGAGCCGTGTGCCCGCCTCTGCCCAGGACTCAGACCCGCTGCCGGGGCACGGTGTGGGCTGCAGCACCAGGAAGCAGCCTGAGAATCCCTGCTGCTCTGCCGACCGAGTCGCTGGAGGTGAGTCCGTGCCCGACCCGGCGCCCCAATCCCCTGTCCCCGCCCTGAGCCCCCTCTGCACCCAGCCCCTCATTCCTGGCCCCACCCCGCAGCCCACACACTAGTCACAGGACAGAACTATGTAGGGTCGTGGGCAGCAGCAATTGTCTAAGTGGCTCACGCAAAAAAAGCGCGACCACCCCTTCCTAGACTCTGCGAGCCTCACCCCACCCCACCCCTCCGATCCAGGCTAGGTGCTTTGCCAGGGTGAATGCAGCATCTCACGGTGACCTCAGGGCGAGCCGGCACTGAGCCAGCTCTGCCCTTGGCAGGGCAGATCTCTAGCCGCCGCTGCGTCTGCTCGCCCAGCACATCCGCCCCAGAAACACACGACAAGTCGGGGCACAGGGCTCTGCAACCTCCCTGGGTGGAGGAGGCCAGGGGACGGGTGGGCCTACCGAGCTCCTTGCTCGGGCGGTGTTGTTACTGGAGTCCAGTCTAAAGACACCTGCTCTGTTCTACTAAACATGCGCCTATTAACCTAAAGACCCTCCCCCGCCCGGGAGTCACAGCTTCCGGCAGGGATTTTGGGGCCCTTAGACAGGCCGTGGAAGCTGAGGTCTGATAGGACAGAGTGTTTGCTGTTTAGCTATTGATTAGAGCTGAGATCACCAGGCCCTCCCCAATGAAACCGAACCGCATGCTGTAAGCATGTCACAGAAATGCCTCCAAATCCAACCTAGGCCCCAGGCCTAACCCACTGCTAAATATTTCGGCTCTTGAGACCATCTACAGGAGGAGAAAGAACAATAGCCAAGAGGGGCTAGTAGCTTTAGGTAGAGTCCTACAACTGGCAGGGACCTCAAGAGGCCATCAAGTCCAGTCCCCTGCCCTCCCGGCAGGACCGAGCACCGTCTACACCATCCCTGACAGGTGTCTGTCCAGCCTGCTCTTCAATATCTCCAGTGATGGGGATTCCACAACCTCCCTAGGCAACTTATTCCCGTGTGTCACCACCCTGCCAGGCAGGGAGTTTTCCTGAGGTCCGGTGAGAAGGAAGCGTTGAGGCAGGGAAGGGTGGGACGGAACGAGGAAGGCGAAGGGAAAGCAGGAGAGGATACAGGACAGAACGGAGGGCAGAGAAGAGCACACTTACGCGGGGTAGTCAGGCACTTTCCCCTTGAAGGCCGGCAGATCGCGAACGTACTCGTTGTGCAGCCACTTTACCTTGAAGTGCAAGTTCATATAGTCGGCGCTTTTACACAGTCTGTGCTTCTCGTGGTCTGTGGGGAGAAAGACCAGTCAGGCATGTTACATTGGCATTAGGCCAGCTGCCCGGGTCCCAGCGGGGTTGCGCACAACGCCGCCGCATTGTGCTACGGCACCGGGGCACGAGGTGTGTCACTAATTGTCACATTACCGAATTGGAGGGAAGCAGCCAGATCGCTGCTGCACCCCTAGGTGGGGGTGTTGGCCCCAGAAATTGGTATGGGGGGAGCCATGTGGGGTATTGAATGGGAGCTTATCGTTTGTTGATCTTATGTACGCTATTTATGTGAGTGTATAATGTCTGTGTGTGTAGGTAGGAATCTGTAATCTGTGTGGAAGCTGAATATTTCTGTGAATGTGGTTAAGCATGGCTATGGACAGGCTGAGTAGTGAAGCCCTGTGGAACAATGGCCCTTGATGGCCCAAGGACACACCTAAAGCAGGAGGGCGGAGACCCAAGAGCTGCCAGCAGAGAGGCTGAGGACCAGGTGACCGGCTGAGACCAGAAGAGGCCAGGAAGGAGGATAAAGAGGCCATGTGGTCGATGCCATTTTGGTTCTCAGCTCAGCACTTCATCCCAGAGGCAGCACTGCAGGGATTGAAGAGCCCGGAAGACCTGTGAACCCATCCTGATCGTAGGATGTGCAATAAGAACTTTTAACCCAGCAGCTGCAACATCTTTGCTAGAGCCTGCATCGAGAACTGGGAGAGTCGGTGCATGTAACGTACTGTACTTTCATAACCTTACTCTCAGGCTTTTCTTTCTTGTAATAATAAACCTTTAGATATAGATTCTAAAGGATTGGCCCAGCGTGATTTGTGGATAAGGTCCAGAGGGTAAATTGACCAGGGATCTGTGGCTGGTTTCTTGGAACCGGACAGAACTTGTTCGGGGTAGGTGGGATTGGGGGCTAAGACCCCCCACCTGTGTATAGGCCCGGGGCCATCTGGGGCACGGATATTGCTGGGGTGTCGGAGGGGTTTTGCTCGGGGGGATTCAGGCAGGCTGCTGAAGCGCTCTGTGGGACTGGTTTGTGGCCTGTTTGGAAACGTCACCAGTCGGGGGGCTGTAAGGAGCCCCGGATTTGAGCAATTCGCCCTGAGCGGACGCACTCAGCTGTGCCCAGACACGGCCCGGTCTGTCACACTAATGCCCTGAAATCTAAGCCACTGGGCTTTCTGGAGAATTTGGGGGGGTCTTTGCTGTTCGGCAGGGGGAGGAAGTTTGCACGGCTCCAGCTCGCACGTCAAAAATAGAAAACTTTCTGGTTGTCATGACAACGAGAGGAGAACGCTTTCTAATGGTCTCGCCGTCTCTTCACACGCCATGCTCTGGATTTCGTCCCCCTCAGGAGGGGAGAGTCGGGTTCCCAGGGCCGGTCTTTGTGCTCCCCTGGATTTACACTGTGACAACGAATATTCCAGCTCGCAGCTTCCCAGACAGAACGTCACTCTCCCTCCCTCCGGCCTCTTTGCTAGCGGCGTGCCCGGACGGAGCAGGGGCGGAGCTCAACGGGGCTTCCGCCTCCAAGCCCAGCCGGCTCAGACTCCGCAGGGCAGAGGGCAAGGGCCAGGGTGTCCCTGGCGGCGCAGCGCACTGGGGCTACTTCAGCGTCCATTCAGGGGAACCGCGTTACGACGGTGCAGGAAGGGAGCCCCACGCCCAGGCACCTCCCCCCACGCGACAAGGCCTCACGGCTGCCCAAGTCCCACCGAGCGACGCTGCACAGCTTGCACCCTCAGCGCCCAGGGTCCGTCAGCAATTCCCTCCACCAAGCCCTGGCAGAAGGCCCTGGGGAGCTGCTCCCTAGGGCTGGGCGGGGGGGCGTTTTACCCCCACCCTCCAGTCTTCGTACTGGCTGCCCACAAAGCAGTCAGCTGGCTTTAGGGCAGGCCTCCCTGCTGGTCAAGCCCCCACTAGGAACCTTGTGCCTGCTGGCGACTTGTCTTAGCAGTTCAGCGTGTTTCGACCGAGGCTCCACTGCAGCCACGTCTCACCTGCTGGCAACACGAGACCATCCCCACCGTGGAGAACTCAGCCCCCAGAAACAGCCCTGCCTCCTCCTGGGGCACCATTCGGGAGACTTCTCGCGCGCCCCTGCTGCGTGTGAGCCGGCCCTGCGTCCGCGAGTACAATCCCCTTTCCAAAGCGGGCCCACCCCACGGTGCCGTTGGGAGCCCCCTGGTTTTTCTTAGAGCTGGGCCCAAGCTGCAGAGCTCGGGTTTCCCAAGGCCACAGTGGTGTGATGGCAACACGTCATGCACAAACAGGCCCTGCTCACTCCAATGCTCAAGTTTTCCTTGCAAGTGAAGGACGAGCGCTTGGCCAGCTGGGATGAGAGTCCACCCCAGATTCACCTGTTGCTGTGTAACCGTCCGTGCGCACCAGCTGACGTGCGCTAAGTGTAGCAGAGTGCACTGAGCGACGCCTCTTGAAAATGGCAGCAAAGTGCATTCAACGGTCTGACGAGTACGACAGGGCGTGTGGACAGACAGACTGCAACAGGGACGTGTGGGCAGACTCACACCCCAGCTCGCCAAGGTCTGACTGCTACACACACAAACCTTCGCTGGATTAAGCCAGGATACTCGGTGCCTGAGGAAAGAGGAGCCCCGCTCAGTGTCTGAGATCCCCGCCTCTCAGCAGCAGGAGCAGGAGCAAAGACGGATACAGGGATGTGAGCAGTCAGACTGGGGATGGAAGGAAGCGGAAGTAGCCACTCAGCGCCCCTAGCGAGAGGAAGGAAGTCAGTGGGCAATTAGCACTCTGTTCCCTATGATATGGAGCACCACAGGGGCTGTCATGGCCTTGCCTGACACAGATGCAAGTTGGTCCCGCCTAGGAGCAGCTGCCAGCTTGGAGCAGAACTGGATGCGCTTGAGCTGTGAGATTTCCTCCAGAAGCCACGAGGAGGTGGCCTAGCTTTCTTAGACAAGCCCATCACAGTCGAGTCAGAAGTGCTCAAGAGGCAAGGTGTGTTACCAGGGTGGGTACGCGGCGAGGGGAAAAGCACAGGCCACGAGACAACAAGGACAAGTGAGAGTCCTGCCCTTGGGACGGAAGAATCCCAAGCATTGGTACAGGCTGGGGACCAACCGGCGAAGTAGCAGTTCTGCAGAAAAGGCCCTGGGGGTTACAGTGGGTGAGAAGCTGGAGATGAGTCAACAGGGCGCCCTTGTAGCCTAGAAGACTAATGGTGTATTGGGGTGCATTAGGAGGAGCATTGCCAGCAGATCCAGAGACGTGATTATTCCCCTTCATTCGGCTCTGGTGAGGCCACATCCGGAGTATTGTGTCCAGTTCTGCCCCTCCCCCCCATAGAAAGGATGGACTCTATTTGGCACTGGTGAGGCCACATGTAAACTACTGTGTCCAGTTTTGAGTCCCCCACTACAGAAAGGATGTGGACAAATTGGTGAGAGTCTGGTGGAGGACAACTAAAATGATTAGGAGGCTGGGGCACATGACGTATGAGGAGAGGCTGAGGGAACTGGGCTTATTTAGCTTCCAGAAGAGAAGAGTGAGGGGGGATTTGAGAGCAGCCTTCAACTACCTGAAGATGGGGTCCAAAGAGGCTGGAGAGAGGCTGTTCTCAGTGGTGGCAGATGACAGAACGAGGAGCAATGGTCTCAAGTTACAGTGGGGAGGTCTAAATTGGAGATTAGGACAAACTATTTCCCTAGACGGGTGGGGAAGCGCTGGGCTGGGTTCCCGAAGGAGGGGGTGGAATCTCCATCCCTAGAGATGTTTAAGTCCTGGCTTGACCAAGCCCTGGCTGGGATGACTGAGTTGGGTTGGTCCTGCTTTGGGCAGGGGGCTGGACTTGGTGACTCCTGAGGTCTCTTCCAGCCCTGGGATTCTATGATGGCAAGGAAAATCGGATCATTTTGGTCGGATGTTTGGGGGCAGGCCCAGGATAACCTTGTCTTTGCGCAACTCACGGTGTAAGGGGTTGGCCATCAGGACTTAGCTGTCCATTAAAACGTGTCCTTCACCACAGCAACACAGGAATAGCCCAACGGGATCAAAGCAAGTTCGGAGTAAAATCCAAATGGGGCTTCAGCTCTGAAGCTGTCTGGCCCAGGAGAATCTGAAGTGCCAACACGTTTCTGTGCTAAAACACTTCACCAAGGTGGGTCTGCAGAAAACCACCTGGCACTTCCCCGTCTTGGAACAGAGAAAACACGGCACCCACGTCAGAGCCAGCAGGGACCACAGATCCCTGGATCCAAGTACAGCGTCCGTCAGCCCCAAACCAGGTTTCCCCGGAGCTGGGGACTCGTCCTGAGTACTGAACAGGCGGCAGTTCAGGGGAGACTTTTGGAGATCCTCAACAGGTCTGAGTGATGCAACATCTACCAGCAGAGCCTCCTAGGGTAAGGGGTCTGCAGGGCAGTTCCAAGGGGAACACCACGAATAGGGCTGACTCGACTACGCCAAATCAGAGAAGGCCATGTTGTCCTTACCAGGCCGTGGGTCTGGGGAAGCTAGCTGCTCCAGAATACAGATGAGCCTCTTATCTCTCCAGTGCAAACGAGGGGAGTCGCTGAAACCAGAACAGGTGTCTTCTGAGGAGCCACTGCCAGCATATGGATCCTGAGCCAGGAGATGAGAAGCCATTTTGCCGTTTCCTTACTGGGCAGCTTCACAAGAGACCTGGGATGTGCATTCAGGGCTCTCACCACAGTCACCGTAAACAGGGAGCACCGCAGGGCAAGCCCTGTGCTTCCGGTAGACATCACGTCTCTAGCAAAGCTCCTGGTGATCCCAGATCAGAAGAACTGTAATGGAAGCAACCAGATGCAGACATTTTAAATGAGAACCACTGTAACTGGAGGGTCTTCAAGAGGCGTGGCCCGTGTCTGCGTTCCATGGGAGGGCGTGCATACACTCCATGCACCGGGTTATAAGCAGCATGCAGGTCGACACCCTCTCAGTCCATCTTCTAACCACAAATCTAGCCAGATCTGCAGCAGAGAGAATGGAGGGCAGGCAGGCGGCAGAATCCAGTCA